TCATGGATCTTTCAACCTGTGGATTGGATGGTTCAATCCCTCCTGAGTTGGGGAATTTGAGGTTACTTGATACATTGTTTCTCTACATCAATCGCCTCTCTGGTCCAATACCAAAGCAATTAGGCAACTTAACGAGCCTAAAGACTCTTGATCTTTCTGTCAATGCACTCAGTGGGGAAGTCCCATATGAGCTTATCAACCTCAGGCAGATCAAACTTCTCAAACTGTTTGTGAACAGATTGCACGGATCAATACCAAGTTACATATCAGATTATCCAAGTCTTGAAGTTCTTGAACTCTGGAACAACAATTTCACAGGCGCTATCCCGAAGAATCTTGGGAAAAACCAGACGCTGAAGGACCTTGATTTGTCTTCAAACAAGCTCACTGGTACAATCCCTGAAGACTTGTGTGCCTTAAAACAGCTTAGAATACTAATTCTCCATAAAAACTCTCTCTTTGGGTCACTGCCACAGGACTTGGGCACATGTTCGAGTCTTGTTAGGGTGAGGTTGGGGCAAAACTACTTGAATGGGAGCATTCCAACTGATTTCATTTACTTACCACGGCTGAATTTTGTTGAACTGCAGAACAATATGCTGTCTGGATCTTTGTCTGAAAATGGTAATTCATCTTCGAGGCCTACTAAGTTAAGCCAAATGAATTTATCAAACAATCAACTTTCTGGATCCTTGCCTTTTTCTCTTTCCAATTTATCTTCCCTCCAAATCCTTTCACTTAATGGAAACAATTTTTCTGGCTCAATCCCTTCTTCCATAGGTGAACTTCACCAAGCCATAAAGCTTTCTCTAAATGGGAATTCTCTTGTTGGAGAAATTCCACCTGAAATAGGTAACTGTGTCCATCTTACTTATTTGGACTTTAGTAACAACAATTTGTCTGGTTCAATCCCTCAAGAAATATCAAATATTCGAGTCTTGAATTACCTTAACCTATCAAGAAACCACTTGAATGGAACCATACCCCCATCAATGGGTTCAATTGCAAGTCTCACGACCGCTGATTTTTCTTTCAATGATCTCTCTGGTAAGCTACCGGAATCAGGCCAGTTCTCAATCTTAAATGCTTCTTCATTTGCTGGTAATCCCAAACTTTGTGGATCTTCATTTAACAACCCTTGCAATGTCACTGCAATTACATGCCCACCAAGAAAATCCCACAGTGCAATCAAGCTGACCTTTGCCTTAGGCCTTTTAATCTGTTCTCTGGTGTTCGTCACTGCAGCTATTATCAAGGCCAGATCATTCAACAAATACACCTCAAATTCGTTGAAAATCACTGCCTTCCAAAAGCTAGATTTCACAGTCTCTGATGTTCTTGAATGCATAAAAGATGGCAATGTAATCGGAAGAGGAGGTGCCGGAATCGTCTATCATGGCAAAACACCAAATGGGGTCGAATTTGCTGTCAAAAAACTTGTGGGACTTGGCAACAACAGCCATGATCACGGGTTTAGGGCAGAAATTCGAACATTAGGCAACATCAGACATAGAAACATAGTAAAATTGCTAGCATTTTGCACGAACAATGAGACGAACCTTCTCGTTTACGAATACATGAGAAACGGGAGTTTAGGGGAGGCGTTGCACGGGAAGAAAGGGGAACTCCTAAGCTGGAATTTGAGGTACAAAATCGCCATGGATGCGGCAAAAGGATTGTGCTATCTACATCATGATTGCTCGCCATTGATTGTGCATCGAGATGTGAAATCAAACAATATTTTGCTGAATTCGAATTTCGAAGCTCACGTTGCGGATTTTGGGCTCGCCAGATTCTTGGTAGATGGTGGAGCCTCCGAGAGCATGTCGGCCATTGCAGGGTCCTACGGGTATATTGCTCCAGGTAAATTTTTGCATATATTCTATACGAGTAACTGAATCTTTCTCAAGATTTGTCTCGAATCATAAATTTCATCCATTGCATTTGTGCAGAATATGCATACACATTGAGAGTAGACGAAAAGAGTGACATTTACAGTTTTGGAGTAGTTCTCTTGGAGCTCATCACGGGACGACGGCCAGTGGGTGATTTCGGGGAAGGAGTCGATATTGTGCAGTGGATGAAGCTAACAACGAACTGTCAAAGAGAAAAAGTTGTTGATATAGTGGATCAAAGGTTTAAAATTGTGCCTAAAAATGAAGCCATGCATTTGTTCTTCGTTGCCATGCTTTGTGTTCAAGAAAACAGCATTGAACGGCCAACCATGAGAGAGGTTGTTCAAATGTTATCAGAATTCCCTCGTTCCTCGTCTTCCTTACGTCATCACTCAGAACAACCTTGAAAAAAACCAAAAAAATTGCTCTAAAGATTGAACTTTTTGAATACTCCCTTTTTGATTATGGTATAAATTGTGAGTTTTGCGGGTTTTTCTTTTTCTTTTTGACATTTGACTGAGATTTAGAAGTATGTTAATAGAGCCGGCAACTTGTTCTGACAAGATTATTGTATATTCATAATGTATCTACCAAATGAATCCAAGAATGTCTTTTATGTTGATCTATGACTAATGTATTTATCAAGATGCTACTTAAGAACATGAACGAAGGTGAGAATTGTATATGGTTTTGTAATAATATTGAGAAGAACATCATGTTGAAGTTTTTAAATAATGTATAAAAATAGTGCATTGAGCAATGTAAGCAAGCATGGTATGACATTTGAGACCCAAAAAAAAAAAAAGCCATGGTGTGGCATACTTGGCCCCTGTTTCGTTTAGCTAAAATTCTGATTTTTAATAAATTTTGATCAAAATCTAAATAAATGACGAATTCCATAAAATATGTGATAGAAAATAAATGTTAAAAATTGGAAGCCAAATAAGGGCTTAATATGTGTAGCAAATAAGACTTCTAGATTTATGTCTTAATTTGTATATTTTCTAAATATATTTGAGATTTATGAATTTCTAAATTCGATTAATTGTCAATGAACATACCTAAAATATTAATATTTAAGAATAGAACATGATAAAAGATTAAACCCAAATGATAAATCAAAATAATATTAAATCACAAGTTGCTATTGACGTCCTTGTTGTTTTCCTATATTGCGACTATATTTTCTCTATTTAGATTCCACAAATGGTACGCTTATATCAGTAGGCCTGGGTATTTTAATCGGAACCGAATCTCTCGAACCGAACCAAAATCGAAGGTTTCGGTCTGATTTCCCAAAAAAAATAAATTAGGAACCAGAACCGATAACCAACTGAGTTCGGTTTGGTTCTTGGTTCTTGAATCAGAACCATGGGTATTCGAGTGGAACCGACTTTTATAAAAAAAAAATTATATACAATTTATAGGCTGAAAAAACATATGAAACCTAAAAATCCTAATTTTGATAGTAATTAGTCTAAAACTTTAAATTCTAACCCTAAAAAGCTCTTAATTTTTTTACATCTCGTCTTACATCAGATTGTTGCATTTCAGAAGTTATTATATATTAATGTTTACAATTTGAGCTTTTTATAAATCAAAAGTTTCAAACAGGTGTGGTATAAGTTGACGGATCAAAATGTTTATTCTTTACAATTCAAGTTTGACTTTCTTGTATTATTAATAAACTTAAGTGATTCTTTAAAATTTTTCATAACGCGTGACAATTGAATTTGATATATTTCTTACTTGTGCTGTGTTGTATCTTTTTGTTATCTTCGGTTCCTAGTTCTCTTTATATATTTTTTATTCAAATAGTGCGAGTTTAACGTGTGGATCGTAATTTTTTTGATACTATATTAATTTTGTATTTAATTAGCATTTTTTATATCAATTTGTTTTAAAAGTAAAATAATTTAAGCATTGGTCATAATTAAATTATATGCCTAGTATACTTCTTTAATATATCGAATAAGATTTATTAAGAAAAATAATTTTTCTCAAATTATAATTTCATTTTTTATCTTTATTTTATTTTCTCCTATTTTTGTGACATTTTACTATTCAATATTTTGCTCCTTGAAAATTTTTTAACTAAATTTTCTCCATTGTACAAATATTTTCGAGTAGTAGTGTATTAGGTATATGCACCAAAAGGATCTATGTGAAATATTTATTAAATAAATAAATATTAAAATGATATAGGTAGAATCGAAACCAAACTAGAACCGATGGTTCAAGTTTAGGTTTGGTTCTAGTATTTATAATGACCCGAATGGTTCCATTTGCGAAATACTCGAAGCATAATGGGTGGTTCTGTGTGTTGAAATACCTGGACCGACCCACCCGATGCCCAGACCTATTTATCAGTTTACGAAACAAGAAACCTGAAAACTGCTGTTATAAATCAACTAGTATTGTTCACTCGCTCTACGAATGCACCAAGTGAGATTACTTGAACCATTTTGGTTCAAACCTAAGCAACTACTACTACATAAATGTTGCAATTGCTTCATGAATGGAACTCTTGCAGGTTGAACCCTGACGCTCAACCTTTGAATGAGGTCCGCTCCAGAAAGATCCATCATTCTCTGAAAACAGAGTTCCGTATAACTCTAAAAGCATTGGATTTTCCAAGAATGAAGATTCTAAAACATTTTAGCTCTTTGGTTCCTATCTAGCACCACCTGCATACAGTTAACTTGATAACAGAAACCAGAGGAGGAATCTAAACCCCAATCACCAAATGCTAAAAAGAAAGAAGACACCACAAACAACAAAATTTTCCTTGGTGGTAATTTTTAATGGTTCCTCCACTAAAGCAAGCTATTTAGTGGTCTATAAAGAGAGTGCATACATCTCCTAACAACAGAGAAAAAGACTAGTTTTGTTGGTTAGTTTTTGTAATTAAATGGAGGAACTAGAGAATGTTTTCTGTTATCTATTCATTGAAATTTAAAGGTATATGTACACATACAATATCTCTAATTAAGGTAGGTTAATCTGTCTAATTAAGGAATAGCTGATTACGCCTAATTAGATACTGTAATTAAGCTAATTAGCAACTAATTAGCTCCTAATGTCAGTTATTTTGTAACACTCCCCCTCAAGCTGGAGCGTAGATATTAATCATACCCAACTTATTACAAAGATACTCAATCCTAATCCCATTTAATGCCTTTGTGAAGATATCCCCAAGTTGCTCTCCAGTCTTCACATAACCAGTAGAGATTACATTTTCTTGGATTTTCTCACGAATGAAACGACAATCGACCTCAATGTGTTTAGTTCTTTCATGGTATACGGGATTTGAAGCGATATGAAGAGTAGCTTGATTGTCACACCAGAGTTTTGCTGGTACTGAAGGCTTCAATCCAACCTCAGCTAGAAGATGTTTTAACCACAAAATTTCGCATGTGGCCTGTGCCATGGCTCGGTACTCTGATTCTGTGCTGGATCTAGATATGACATTTTGTTTCTTGCTCCTCTAGGATACAAGGTTTTCACCAACAAAGACTCAATATCCTATAGTGGATCTTTTATCAATTTTGGATCCAACCCAATCAGCATATGCAAATCCCTCAATGCAAGTGTGTTCGTGATTACTATACACTATACCAAGACCAGGAGCTCTTTTCAAATAACACAATATCTATTCCAAAGCTGCCCAATGTTTTATTGTAGGGCTAGACATAAATTGGCTGACAACCTGAGCAATATCTGGACGGGTCATTGTGAGATAGTTTAGTTTCCCAACTAATCTCCTGGTACTTTTTAAGATCATCAAATGGATCACCATCATCTTTTATAAGATGTACATTGGGAACCATTGGTGTGCTGCATGGCTTGGTCCCATCTTTTCGATTTCGGCCAGCAGATCAAGTACATACCTTCTTTGAGGTAAGAAAATCTCTTTTCTGCTTCTTGTTACTTCTATTCCCAGAAAATATTTTAGTTGGTCCAAATCTTTTGTTTGAAATTTAGTATGTAGAAATAACTTGAGAGAGGAGATTCCTGCACAATCATCTCTTGTAATGATAATGTCATCGACATAAACAACAAGAAGAATAATACCAGTTGCTGACTATTTGTAGAAGACGAGTGATCACACTTGCTCTTCTTCAACCCAAACTTCTGAGCTACCTCACTGAACTTTCCAAACCAGGCACGAGGACTCTATTTTAGACCATACAAAGATTTCATCAGATGACAAACTTTCCCATATCTCCCCTGAGCAACAAACCCAGGTGGTTGCTCCATATATACCTCTTCCTAGAGATCACCATGAATGAATGCATTCTTGATGTCCAACTAGTATAAGGGTCAATCTTGGGACCCAATGATGGATATAAATAGGCAAACAGAGGTAAGTTTGGCCACTTAAGAGAATGTATCTGAATAATCCACTCCACAGGTCTAAGCATATCCTTTTGCAACAAGTCTGGCTTTCAATCTTGCCATAGAGCCATCTGGATTGACCTTGACAGCAAAAATCCATTTGCATCCCACAAATTTCTTGCCTTTAGATAGATCTACGAACTCCCATGTGTGATTTTCATCTAGAGCATGTATCTCCTCAAGTATTGCACTATGCCATCCAGGATGACCCAAGGCTTCTTTTACTGTTTTGGGCACAGAGACTGAATCTAGAGAGGTAATTAAAGAACTAGACGCAAGAGACAGATGATCATATGAAATAAAGTTAGCCATGTGATAAATAGATTTAGGGAGAGTGCACTGGTGTTTACCTTTGCAAAGGCTAATGGGAAGGTCAAGGTCATTTGGAGGATCAGATGATGAAGTAGCCGGTGCAGGACATGTATCATTAGCTTCTTGCCTTCTGGAGTAAATGTGGATAATAAGTGGCTTTGCTTGAGTAGGAGGTTGCTCATTAGAGGTGTTGGGAGATGTAAGAGTAGCACCGTCATCTGATTGCCCAATAGGAATATTTGAATGTGTGATTTGGTAGATTAGTCACTCATCTTTCTCCTCCTGACTTGTAGGGATGGAGGGAGAAGAGAAGAACAGTGTATTTTTCGAAAAGATCACATCAGTAGAAACTAGATATTTATGGAGATCGGGCGAGTAGCATCAATACCCTTTCTGAAGACGAGAATATCCCAGAAAAGCGCACTTCAAATCTTTTGGATCCAATTTAGTAACGGATGGCCTTACATCACGAACATAACAGATGCTTCCAAATACCTGTGGTTCTACTAGGAACAGTAACTTGTTTGGAAATAGAATACTATATGGAATATCTCCATTAAGTACTGTAGATGGTATACGATTAATCAAAAAGCAATCTGTAGAGATGGCATCAGCCCAGAACTGTTTAGGAACCTTCGTTTGAAACAAAAAAGGCTCGAACTATTTCAAGTAGATGTCTATTCTTTCTCTCGGCAACTCTGTTTTGAGGAGGAGCATCAATACAGCAGGATTGGTAAAGAATCCCATGTTGAGTCATGTAATTCTGGATTGAGTCTGACATGTATTCTTTAGTATTGTCACTTCTTAGTATATGCACAGAAGTATTAAATTGGGTTTTAGTTTCATCATAAAATGCACAAAAATGAGAGAATACTTCAAATCGAATTTTCATAAAATAAATTCATGTCATTCAAGA